TATGTTTTCATAACATAGTTTTGCATTGAGCGATATTTATATGAACCAAGTTAAGAAATGAAATAAAACTTCAAAATTGCAGTACAAATTAAATAAATTTTTATTATAACACAGAATGAGTTTTGTATGATTTAAAATATACAAACATGTAAACTGCACTTGAGGCAGAAAGAAGCGTGACATCAGCTGCATGTAAATGCTGACTACTGCTTAATAGTTCTTTTGCCCATCTTACAACTTAATAATTATCAAAAGTTTTTGTTGAATATTAACACATCAAAAGGTGTAGCTTTCATTAAAAAAAGGCCATATTGATGAACAAACAAAAGCAAAACAGACAGCAATTGCCTAGGTCAAAATGAAACCTGAAGAGAAAGTCTTGGAGGACTAATTTATAAAAGTGTTCAGGTAGAGATGATGGCATTTCAAAAGCTTTCTTGACCTGGAGACAAAAGATGGGAGAATTTCAAAAATTTGCCCTCTCTACTTGAGCTACTTTTGTAGATTTTGTCCTCCAAGACTTTTTCACCTTTGTTTGTTAATCATAAACACTTTTCCTAAATCACCTATAAAAGATTAGCACTGACAGTAAAGGGATAAAACTCTGTAGCACATTGGTATAATTTATGGGAACTTTTAAGTGTATGAAACCACATTACTACACTGAAACAAACAGAAATGTGATTTACGTTGTAGTACGATACTTCACTTGCTAAAAATATCAGAAACTTGAAAAAAAAATCTTTCTATAAATATTCATTTAATGATTCAGAAATATGAATGAATATGGTTATCAAAAACAAAACAAAGAATACATAATAAAATCTAACAACTGTGACAGAATTTCATTAACAGCAACTTTTTCCAGCTTCTTTTCTCTCATAATATAAGAGTACAAACATTACATTCAAGATTTTTAATATAAAAATTATTTTAAGAATATATCTCTAAGTTTAACACTTGCCTTCTCGAGCATTGCCTACCTTTTTGTGATGATATTTACACTAATTCTCTATTATATACTGTTGAATACACAAAATACTAATGAAAATAATATGTTTCATATCTCCAAATGAATCCATCACAATAAAGTTCAGTTTTTAGGTTTTCAAAGGTGAATTTGGGTAAATCATTGTTATTAGGTCATATCATCACAAAAAAAGTTCACAAATGGTATATGATATACAAATTATAATTTGGTACATTTATACCAGCATAAAATCTTATGGAGTGCAGCAACAGTACACTTTGATACCCAAACCACAATGCAAGCTTTAGCAGGTTGAAAGCTGGAAAAACTTTTTTCAAGTTTTTACCCCTTTTTAGCTTCCATATTAGATGTATTGTTTAGTTTGTAATTTTGTGTGCATTTTGTTACTGTTTTCTTAATGCAAAGGTACATTAACGGTCATCTGTATTCTGTCCAGCATGGGGTTATAAACCCCAAACTTTAAGCACTGTAAGTCATCTAGCTTACTACTGACCCACTGGGAGCTTTTTTTTTGTTTATTACTAAAAGTAATTTTTAGTTTACAAACCCTCAATGTACTGCTAAGCCACTAGGGGTCCACATTTTAGGAAATTTTCTGGACTTAAAAATATATACTTCATTCTAAGTTATATTTAAAAATTCCTTAATTTCCTTTAGTATCAGATTTTTCTCTTAATAAACAACAGATATTTATAGTTAGAAATTAATATTCAATCTTTTTTTTGAATTATAATAGGTCATATATTTCTTTAAAATCTACGATTCACTTCAAGGATTTAACACTTTCCACACAAGGTCATGCAATGTGACCAACTTTGTAACCATAAAGTAACCATCAGTTTCCATAGGATAACTTTTAATATATTTTATGTATCTTCACAAAATTTAGCAAGCATTCAGTAAACATCAGAAATCTTTTGTACATGAAAAACCATAATTTGTAATTAACCCTCTTGCTACTGGCTCGGCTGAAACTGCCGAGTTTGTGACCCCAAACTGACCTTTATAACTTCTAATATCTTTTGTCCATCTTCACAAAATTTTGCAAGTTTCAGTAAGCATTAAGTCTTTTGTAG